CAAGGCAGGAGAGTAGGCACCCAAGTTGATGTTAAGTGGGACGGCGCTGACGGTAGCGACAAGGGCAAGGAGGACGGTTTGAGGAAGCATCTTGACGGTTTTGGGTTTAGGATTGAAGTATTATACTTGAGTGGGATAAGTATTCAAGATTGTTGGTTGGTGAGACCGTGGAAGGGTAGAAACGAAAAGTGATCGGGTAAAGATTTAAAAAGTGATGGTAATATCTGATCGCACGGCGATAGATGGAAGTTGATTATAGTAATCTGGTGAGAAGTGAAGATGAGTGACCGGACTGCAGAACCTAAAAAAACAGTGGGTTCAAGAGCATTTATACAGATTGACGGATTGCGAATGTCTTCACGGCGCGATCGTCACTGTCCCTTCTTGCCAAGCCTATCCCGCTGTTTGAAGTGAGCTTGAAACTTCTTTGAAGCCGGGCCAAGAAACAGCAAGCGAGTGCAACCTTGCCTGGCATAGGCACTATCGTTGATCGACCAGGGAGTGTGAGCGATATGGAGTCCGCCAAGACGAGCGTGCAGCATGAAGCTAGCTCGAAACTTCTGTGAAGCCGCGCCAAGAGGGAACAAGCCTGCTGGCAGGCATGGCACAGCTCTTTGCGTAGAGGAGCTCCGCCAAGCTTTCCAATCCCCATTCGGGCCAACATCTTGTCACATCTCGACCCCGGGGACTATCCTGCACGGAGCAGAAATTCAGGAGAAATGTTTGTTTCTGCCGGGCGTCAAAGTAAGCCGGCCCGCGAGTTGAGGACTAGTAGAGTAGGTAGCGCTTCTCGTATTGTCGCCTAACCTATCCATACTGACAGGACAGGTAACTTGGATGCTTCCAGACAAGCAAATGTGTTAGCGGCTCCTAGAACATCACAGTCAAACAGAATTTCGGGATGGATTGTGAACTTGGGGGAATCGGCTGCAACTGCCCCACATTCGGAAAGCCGCCTGTGCATGAAGGCCGAGATTGGTGGTTGCTTTTTCTTCTTTCCTCGCTGATCTACCTTATGCCAAGCACGTCTACTCAGAGAAGCACGGATTTGACATGTCTTGGGGAAGATAAGAAGAGGTTTCTCCATAATAACGGTGCTGGGCAATGTACCTACTGCGAACGGGAAGGAACTTGGCGACGTTTTCCCCACAGCGTTCGGCCGGCCTGTGGGCTCTGTGGAGGACGAGTTTACTCGGCGGCTCAAGCTTCTTCTGCGCACAGAAGCTTCTGGCGAGACAAGCAATGTGTGAGCCAAGACGTGCAGTCGGGTGCGTCATTACTCGTGAGTCGTGACTGGCCTGCGAATCCGGGCCTGTGTCTGAGGGGAGTCGAGGATATTCAGGCACGAGGCTGATCGCAACTGCTTGGCACGCCGCATTATGGACACTGTAGTCAGGCGTCTCACAGAGGTGCGACAAGCTCATCGACTTTTTCCAGGGGCTGCCGGTCCAGATTCGACCATGTAACAACGGGCATCGTGGGAGGGGCCAGGCTCGCCCCAGGCAGATGGTGGCGCACAGCGATCTTACACGGGGGATCGATGACGGTGAACTGGTAGGTTCAAGCTTTGGCAACGCCTATCCCCATGATACATGGCAAAAGCTGGGCGTGTATGGGGATGCCCAAAAAAATTCAAGTTGAGATGGAAAAAGTTGCCCAGGGGGTTCGTGAACTTCGTAAACTTCGTAAAACGTGGTGCCTGGCACTGGTACCTGTCAGAAAAGCAAGTGGGGAGACGGCGTAAGGTTAGACCGCTCCGGTCACGGTTAGCGCGTCTTGGCTCGTCTTGGCGCTCGTGGCCTGGCAGCACCCACGAGTCACTCACTCTCCCCACTACTGTGTACGTGACCAGACGAGGGGAGTGGGCTAAGGGGAAAGCAGCAGTTCGCTCCCAGTACCCAATATGCCGTTTCATTGACACTGGCACGCTTCTGCTACAGCGCAATATCGCCCCCGTTGATCCTGAATTCCACTGATATTGCACTCCCCACTTGTCCAGCACAGATCCGAACCAATCTGTGCTGTCCCCGTGTGAAAATCAATACCTCCTGACGGTCCAGACTCATTGCTGGTTGGGGATGGTTCAACGCCCAGCTTTTGCCCCCAGGAGAGAGACCCATTTTTTCCTGTCTTGGACGTCACCGAGGTAGTGGACGGAGGATGCCCAGCTCAGAACAAGCAGTCAAGAGATATAGCTCAACACGTAAGAGATGTCGCCCGCAACCAAGAGATGCGATTCGATCCCCAAGACTCTTGGAGATGACGGCTCAGGCAGAGGTGCCAAAACCCAAGGTCGGTATGGGTATCCAGCTCTAGTTAGCCTCATTGAAAGCAGAAAAGAATTCTACACGCCTACTTACTTACAATTTCATTCACTACCTCACTTCATGCAATATTGAATGAACCATCATTTATCAATGCAAGTAGAGCAACACACGGCACGGCACACGCAATGTAAACACCCGAGAAATCCTACTCGCAAAGCCATCGGCGTGAGTGGAAGAGAGTCAGGTACCGATGAGCGCCTCAGGCCTCCGCTCTCCGCTCTCCTGTGACTGTGACAGTCGCAAAGCTCACAGCGATCAGCGCCAAATAGTCTACCGTCCCCTGCTATTGCCCCACGGTATACTAATGGAGCATATCACATGGGATTATATCCTTACTGCGCGGTGTGATTGACTGCTCGCGGACTTATGCTGTAGCATGCCAAGCAAAGTCCACGTACACTGCCTGTGGATCAGAACGCAGCAATGCCTTGGGAATTGATCCGGCCGAGAGCTGGCTGACCTCTCCATTGCTTCATTTGACTTGGCAGAAAAAGAATTGTTGCTAGGCAGCACGCCATCGTGTTCTACTCAATCCTTTTCAGGCAAACATCTTCCGCTCTACCTTCCCTCCACTCCCCGTTCTACCTCGTAACCTTCCTCACTACACACACATTCCTCCCTACCTTCGAATTCTGACAATCTACGCAACTTCCGGTATTCCTTCTCCCACGTCTGCCAACAAAAAAATATCTCTTACTGCTACATGCCCGCCATCTCATCTTCCGTTCTCCCCAAAATTCTCCATGACGTCGCAACTTCAGTATCATGACTTAGATCAGACAGGATCGGCCCGCCTTGCATCCGCCTCCAACAAGATTCTCGCGAACTACAGAGGCAAGCTTTTGTCTTGGGTTCTTGTAACACAGATCCTTTCTCTCACTCTCGGACCGACGCTTCTATGCCAATATTCTTAATTCCGAACAGCAAAACCAAGATCTCCGCGTTCGACCGCTCAAAACTCAGTGTGAAGCATTTCCAATAATTTTCAGAGTAAAACCGACCGCTCGTTATCCCAAATCGTTGTACGAACCCCTCCGTTTAACCAAATCTACCGATACAACTTATCGCATCACCTCAATGTACTCCAGTACATTTGAATACTCCTTCCCATGCATTTCCCTCGTTCTAGGTTCCGCATTCGTCCATCGCATCTCTTTCCAAAATATCCTATAATCGAACAGAACACAAGCGCTAGCCAGAAGCTCACACGTTTCTTCCGATATAACTGTAGATGTGGAGTAGACTTGGCGAATAACTTATTCTATCATAATTTATATAGTAATAACTTCCCTGCGCACCAATTTTACTCTTAAGTTGTACGTGGTAAACTTGTGTAGCTAGGGCAACGTAGCGTAGGCATACCGTTCGTATATACTCCTTTCATGGCGGTTTCGAAGCGATTCCTCGCCTCAAAATGAGTAAATGGTGTTCTGAGATCTTGAATAGAATCTGCGGTTTATAGGTCGCCTTGAAACGCAAGTTGTAATCTCGTCGTAGTATCCAGGTTTACAGTGGTATGGGCGGCAGTGCGCATGCGTGCCTCAGCAGAAAGCAATGACTTAAAACGGCTTTCCCTTTCTGTCGGGTTTAATTTTTATTGTTGATAATGTAATTGTAAGGTTCAATACTAGATTGAACCAAGTATATTACGGTAAAATAAACGTTTGGTTGTTGTGGAATTTTTTTCATGTTTTGGTGATACGTTTTTGTTTCTAAAAATGAGAGAACACCACTAATGTGGAAAAATTGCAGCTTACTCTCACGCAAACTGTGCTCATATCCTTGCTATTCAATAACAATTAAGACATGAAATTTCTGAAAACTGTAGTGCAGTATGAAGGAGCTATTATAACGAGTAATATTTACTGGAGGGAGTGTATGTAGATTTTGTTAAGTGATGTAGCAATTTGGGTTGAGCTCATGGGGAGATAGCAGAGTTGCAACTATGGGAACGAACTGATCAAAGATCAAAACATTGAATTCCAACATGATTCTCACTAAAATTAATGGAGGGTTTCTTGCAGATGGGAGAAGGCTGCAATATGTTGGAGCGGTTCGTATATTTATGGTGGTGGAAGTGGGAAGGCGGAATTTTGTTCGCCGCAAGCACAATGCATGAACATTCACGACCCGCGCTGTACTATCGAACCATTCTCGAATGCGTACTATAGCAATGAAAAATAAAAATTTCGCAACTTGCGCAGCTCTGATGCCACAAATATTCTATTTTCGTCCTCATCTAATGTGTCGCACACGTGAAAGTCCTCGATGCGCCGAGCTCGTTTGTAGCTGTCGAAGCCCTGAATTACTAGCGATATAAATATAAACATGAGAATCAAACATTAAATGGAAAACTACACTGCTTAAATTGACTATTGGGATGGTGTTAACGTGTGTGTTGGTTGTTTTTCACAGCCGTGTGTTCGGCTTTCCCGCATCTGGCTCCCCGCGACAAAGCGAGGACGAGTACCGCCGATTTACCCCCTGTAACACTTAAAATATAATCCCGAGATAAGATTCTCGGTTTTCCAAATGCTAGATAAGCGATTCCTGCAGTTTTCCCATGGTTTTCCCGGTTTGTGGTCCACTTCGCTCACACCTCACCCACCCGGCTCACTGCTTCATTTCTCGAAATATATACAATAAAACACTTCCAAACTTCATCAAACAACTGGTTCGGTGGTGTAGTTGGTTATCACGTCAGTCTAACAACGGTTTAACAATCAGTTAGTACACTGAAGGTCCCGAGTTCAAACCTCGGCTGAATCATTTTTTGCTGGCGTGGAAGCGTGAGCGTTCGCGAAATTTTAATTTTTTTGGCGGGGAAATGGTCTGTGCGGTACCCCGCGAACACCAAACTTGCACAGAACTTGTTGAAGGGAGATAGAATGAGAAAATTGCTCAGTGTGCTCGGGAGGCTGTACTGTTGCGGATCGAGGGGAATTCCCATAGATGGAAGTTGCATTTTAATCCTTCCCGGCTTACAAAGTTCTTCTTGCTGAGCTTATTATGCCTAGCTGAAGGAATTTTCGCACACAGAAGATGGTGGGATATCACACCGCACTGGCAGTGGTGGACCTCCACACTGAGCCTTTGAAGATAAAACACCAAGATCTGCAACAACGTAGAAGAAAAACTGGATGTAATAAACTTTGCCCGAATGTTTAATCTCCAAATAAGTTACACGTTGTAAACATTTGTCGTTATGCTCCCGTTTTTCATGTGCGAAACAGTGTGGTGATGCAGCATCCCTCATGTCAAAGTGACGCGTCCTTCACACTCGTGCGACCTCCCCGTTTCATCCTCTTAGTCCTGATTCCACGAGTTACGCCTGAATTACAAAGTGTAGACATAAAAAAGTGGAGGGTGGTAGCGACGACGGTTCCATTGGTCCCTCCGTATACGCAGGTGCGCTAACAATTTTTCACCTCCGCACAACGACCGAAGAACGGTGTAAAAAATGCGCCACGTGAAGCGGGGCATCATGGTCAACCCAGTGACACTGTGACAAAGCGAAATTTCCAATGCTCAGTAACTAAAATGTTGTTTGCGAGGTTATCGGAGTAGGTATATAATATATTTAAGCGGCGGCGAATCACATCGCTCAGGTGGTGAAATGGTATCACGACACGTTGTGGCCGTGTTATTCTGAGTTCGATTCTCAGCCTGGGCACTGCAAAGTGCCAAAGATGGCTTCAGTTAGCGGCTACGTTTCTTTTTTGCTTTTTTTGTTTCATCTCTGACACTGAAACCTTGACTTTTTGATTCTACTATGCTTCTATTCTACCCGCACGCTTTTCTTTCATCGCCCTGAGTGTCTCGATCCGCTTTGAGAAAAGCATGTTCAGATGTTGGAGGGATACGACTAAGCATGGTCTTATATAGGAACAGCTGCACTCCGAGTGTGCACGTCACTCATCATTTACCTTTGCAACAACCCAGCATCGATAGTCCTGAACCACACAATACGCACGGAGGAGAAAACAAATCAAACACACCGTCTTCGAGCAGTTTGAGAGAAGATGATATTTCCTTTTAAATTAAAATCTGTGGAAGCACGTCAATCCATGAAGCAGCCTAGTTGGCGAAGCAGCCTAGCTAGGTACATAATGCGTGAGGGCAAAGCGTGGTGACATCTGTATAAAATTATATAGCTTGCTCGTCTATTTGCGCTGATTATACTATATATAATAAGGTGACATAGAAGAGGCTACCGTCCTTTGAAGCCTAGCAGCAGCACACTCTGAATACCGACTCCGCCCCGTCCTTGTAGGCTGGGGAACTTCGCCCTCATCTCCATCCTCTTCACCCTCCGACACTTCGTCGCTCTCGTCCCCACCCCCCTGAGTAGCCTCACCCATCCACGAGAGATTAACGTTTGAAACACTAGACATGGCATCTCCTTGGGTCTGTTCCAAATTAAAACATTCGAAAGAGTTAATGAAGGTTTCCGAAACGTTTGTTGGGATCCATTGGCACGGGATTGCTTGTGAGACCTATCAACATCGACGTTTTGAAAAACATCAGGGAGATGCTTTTCACGCTCCTTTTCGAAATTGATACCCGCTACTTTGTCCAGCTGATGGTGGTACATGAGGATAGGACAGTGCGACAAAGCTGGCTCTCTGCCCATGCAATAGTAGCGCAAGTGATGGATGATTTGTCTTAGACGACGAAGTGTCATATCTTTCAACACTTGTTCGATGGGAACATATGATGTAGGCGATATCCCCCCGTCTTTCAACTGGTACCGCCCGACAACCGCATCTCTCTCGTTCCATTCACAAGTTTGTCATGACATGGCGTCCCCATATTGAATAAAATCGTTTTCTTCTTCTATATGTGGAGAGGTAGTTAGAGGGTAACACCTCGGGTTGTGCTCACACTCCCTTCGACTTGTTGCCACGAATTCACTCCAGTCATTAACATCTGGGATGAATGATAAGGATTTCTTGTCGCAGACTTTTCGACTGTCATTGTAGCGGGAGTGGGGGTTCATCACAACATGCGTCGGGTTGACGCACCTTGGATTGTGGCAAAGATAAGAGGTTTGCCGGTCCTACAGGGATCGGTAACGATCAAAGTCCAGACGGTAAAGAGCCAAATGGATCCAGTATCCGATGTGAAGTGTAATATTTCGTGTTCCTCCGCAATGGGCACAATGAAAATTACCAAACTGCACTTAGTTCCGCTGTTCTTGTGGATAGACACATCCCAACTGAGAGAAACCGTCCTTTACTGATGGGGGAATGGTGTGCATAAACATGAATAGAGGCGGCCGGAGACCATGTGCTCTCAGATAACCCCAAGGATCATTTCCTGCTAAAACGCGTCTTCTTGTCTACCCAAATGTCATAGGCTATGTAATTATGCCTGCATTCACTGGGATTCAACAGCTTATTCTCAGAGGGTGTATGCTCGGATCGAGGGTTTGATGAAGTCCTTCCCTTGGAGGGTGTGGACGTCGGCGACTGACGCGATGCGGAGGGAGGGTATGAACTTGTGTCGCGACGGACGTATCGATCCTTTATGCTTCTCTCACCAAGCTTTCCGTCGTAGTCATGGACGTCGTTGGGGTTGGAATAGAGGGTTAGGGTGTTAAAGTAAGAGGCTGTAATAGTCTTGATCACAACGACAAAAATTATCGTCGAGAAGCGGACTTAGCGAAGCGGTAATGATAATGATCAAGATCTATAGAAAAAAGGATAAAATGATCTATTCATGACTAGTCTTCTATGTAATACAATAAAAAGAACGGTTTGCTCTAGTCGAGCACATTCGTTAGGAGCACGCTTTTGAGGGGTAGTGATGGTATCGTGTGTATATGGGTATCATCCATCATACTGTGTCGGAGCTCATACACAAGGCTTCGGGTCCAGTGAGATGGTCGTCGAGGCTGTCTTTTGGGCTCAGTTGTTGGCGTTTTTGGCGTTACCGGCGGCGGCGTTGTTTGCATTCGCGTTGCCGTTAGCATTTCCAGCGTTGGCATTTCCAGCATTGGCATTTCCAGCATTGGCATTGGCATTTCCAGCGTTTGCGTTTCCATTCGCGTTTGCATTCGCGCCAGCATTTGCGTTGCCGTTGTTCGCATTAGCATTGGCATTTCCATTGGCACCAGCATTAGCGTTTGCATTTCCGTTGGCACCAGCATTAGCGTTTGCATTTCCGTTGGCATTAGCATTGCCTGCATTTCCAGCGTTCGCGGCGTTGCCAGCGTTTCCAGCGTTCGCGTTGTTGTTCTGAGCATTTCCGGCGTTGGCGTTTCCAGCATTTGCATTCGCATTTCCAGCGTTGGCATTTCCAGCATTTGCATTCGCGTTTCCAGCGTTGGCATTTCCAGCATTTGCATTCGCGTTTCCAGCGTTGGCGTTTCCGGCATTTGCGTTCGCGTTTCCAGCGTTGGCGTTTCCAGCATTTGCGTTCGCGTTTCCAGCGTTGGCGTTTCCAGCGTTCGCGTTTCCAGCACCCGCAGCACCTCCGGCAGTATCGTTTGCAGCATTGCCAGCATTAGCATTTGCGTTTCCAGCATTGCCAGCATTAGCATTTGCGTTTCCAGCATTGGCGCCTGCAGCGTTGGCGTTTGCCCCCGCTCCCGCATCTGCGCCTGCAGCATCGCATTGAGCTATCACAGAGTCAGTTCTGAGCCTCAAAACCTTCATAGGATATCCACTTACTCTTCTGCTCAGTACAAGCATCGAAATCTACAGTTGCGTCTCCACCATTGGCCAAATTGGCGCAAGCGTTGAATTGCTGATCGCAGCTTCGCTGGACAGCCGCCCCAATGTTCACGAAGGTATCTTCGCCCACTTGGAAGGGGCGGTCCGCGTTACCGGAGTCGACGATGGGGGTTGCGGCGCCTCCTAGGTTGCCAGTGAAGGTTTGTGCATTGTTCTGACGGCGGACAGGCTTGAAGCTTGTGGGAGCCGTGAAAGCGACCGTGAAAAGGGTGGGGAGGATGAGAGAAGTCTTCATGTTGATGGTGTGGGGTGGGTATAACCAAAAGGTGTTGGATATGTATACAAGATAAAGGAGTAAGGTAAAAAAGGGTTTGTGAAAAGAAGTGAGTGACCAGACTCAGAAAGAATGCAAAACTACCAGAGTAGATGAAATGCTGTATGGCGAACAAGTCGTAGGCTTGATGCCCTTTAGTGGATGTGGAGGAGGGCATACTTATACCAGAGTACGACGCGTACACTTTTACTGTGCCTGCCGATCTATACCATATAATCCACGGAAGATTGTGATCTGGCGATACCTGACGTACTTGTCAGGCACAACATGAGACGGCTTGACAGGTCTCTCGAGCGCGCCTATGCTTGGACTGGAGCCTCATTTCCTTCTGGAAGTAGTGGTCTGGGGTAATTAAGCTTTTCATGACACGAACCTTAAGATTAACCGGGCCAATGAACTATAGGGAAGAAGAGTTCAAGGTGGGGCGGCGGAATAGCCATTTTGTATCGTGTTTGAAAGTGGATTCAGGAATTGCGCAATGCTCCGCCCTCATCCGGGCTTCTGGGTCTGGGAGCGTCGAGAATGAGGTGAAGTTTCATCATGGACAGTAAGAAAAATTTGACATCAAATTGCGTTTAACGCAATAAAAACTCGTGTGGAATAAGATGTGACTGCTGATTTGTGTCATTAGTTAATGGTTGGCCTCTGTTTCGGTGTCGAGTAATGAAAGGCGGCAGTCCGCAAGCGCTGTCTTTCGACGGCTCGCCTACGACCCCTGCCAGCGATCACGCACGCTCTGAAGCACAACGCGAAAGAGA